TTTACGTAGAATCTTGTTTTAAATTTTCAATCATTAGCTATAAAAGTTGAACATTTTATAAATTTTTAACTATAAAATTATTATTAAATTTTAAATGTGATAAATTTTGTCAAAATTTGAATTTTAAATAATTATAAAAAAAATTGTGCCTATGTATTTTTAATATTTTTCAAGTGTTATTGTAAAAATATATCAGGATCTTTCAATTAAATTTTCAAGCTTTTTTACCATACAAATAAAATTTTATTGATATGAATACAAAAAAAATTTAAAAAATTGAAAACTGAAAATGTCCGTAAATAGCTCAAAAAGAATCAAAATATTTTCAAAACTATATGGTGTATAGGAAATGCTAATATAAAAATTTAGTAAAATTTTCAAGTATCTACAGTCATTCGTTTTTTAATTACAACAAAATTAGAAAATCGTTACATGAGAAATCGAGTGAATATCCAATGTTGTAAAAATTTGAATTTCAAACGCTCATAAAAATTTAATTTAACTTTCTTATTGACATTTTTTTTTTTTTGATAAAGGTTGATAATCTTATAAGAAATCTTGTATTACATTTTAAAATCTTAGATTTAAAAAGAGAAAGTTTTATGAATTCTTAACTCAAAATAATTTGCTAATTTTCGCGATTTTTCCATATTTTGACAATTTTTGAATTTTAAATGCTTATAAAATAAAACTGTGACTAAGGATTTTTAATATTTTTAATCTGTCTTTGAAACAATATATTAGGAGCCTTCTATTAAATGTTTAAGCTTTTATACCCAACAAATAAAATTTTATTGATACTTATAGAAAAAAAACTAAAAAAAAATGGAAACTAAAAATGTCCGTAAAAAGCTCAAAATAACTCAAAATATTTAGAAAATTTTATCATGTATAGAAAATGAAAATATAAATAACCAGTGAAAATTTCATATATCTATGGTTATTTGTTTTAAAGTTACATCAAAAACCAAAATCAATTTTCTCGAAAACAGATTTTGCGTAAAAATTCCCGTTTTTCCTTAATTTTTCTTTTGTTTTTCACGGCGCTTTTGAAAACTACTGTGACATTTTTGCTTTTGAACCCCCAAAGTACCAACTAGATTCACTTTCCTATCAGAAAAGATACTGTTGAAGAAAATCCAAGCACTTTTACTGTCCTAAAAGATGATGACAGACAAAAAAAAAAAAAAATGAATTCGTAAATTCGTAAACAGTTGTCAATATTTGTAATGAAAAGAAAAATTCCGAACCAATAAACCATGATAGTTTATAAATGATTGCTGAAATACTGAAATAAACTGAGGGTGCTAGTTTGAAGCTTGGGGGTGCTAATCCCCCTATGGGCGCCTATGCTTATAACCCGTTATACATCAACAACAAACCCTGATATAGGTACTATCATAGATATATAAAAGTGTACTTTAGAAGTTTTAAGTAGTCACGAATACAATCACAACAAAATAACTAAAATAGTTATTCTAGGTTTTTTTATATGTAATTTCATCCAAATTTGAACCTAAAATTACTATAAAAATAAACTGTGCTTATGTATTTTTTAGATTTTTTGGTAACAGAATTAACTACATACGTGATGGAATCTTGTTTTAAATTTTCAATCCTTAGATATAAAAGTTGAACATTTTATACATTTTTAACTACGAAATAATTATTCAATATTAAATTTGATAAATTTTGTCAAAATTCGATCTTTAAATGCTTATAAAAAAAAATTGTGCATATGTATTTTTAATATTTTTCAATTGCTATTGTAACAAACATGCCTCGTATTAAATTTTTAGTTTTTGGCCTAACAGATAAAACTTTATTAATATTCATAAAAAAAATAAAAAAATTGAAACGTGACAATGCCCGTAAACAGCTCAAAAAGCGTCAATATATTTTGAAAATTTTATCAAGTATAAGAATTTATGATATAAAAATTCAGTGAAATTTTCATGTATCTACAATTATTCGTTTTTGAAGTACCTACAACAAAACAAGAAAATCGTTATATGAGAAATAGATTGAATAACAAATTTTGTAAAAATATGAATTTTAAATGCTCATAAAAATTTAATTTCACTTTCCGGTAAACATTTTATTTTAGATAAATGTAGATAATCTTATAAGGAATCTTCTATTTTTAAAATTTTTACGAATTCTTAACACAAAATTTTCGTGATTTTTCCATATTTTGTCAATTTTTGAAATTTAAATGCTTATAAAAAAAACCGTGACTAAAGATTTTTAATATTTTTCATCTGCCTTTGAATCAATTTACTAGGAGCCTTTTATTAAATTTTCAAGCTTTTTTAATCAACAAATAAAATTATGGTGATATTTTTGAAAAAAAAAAAACAAAAAAAAAAATGGAAAATGAAAATGTTCCTAATCAGTTCAAAACAAATCATAATATTTTGAAAATTTTATAGTGTATAGAAAATCCAAATAAAAATAAAAAGTGAAAATTTCATCTATTTGCATTTATTTGTTTTAGAGTTACGATTTAGTTATTTTTCGATTTTGTGGAAAACCGGTTTTGCGTAATAATTCCCGTTTTTACTTAATTCTTATATTGTTTTTCCCGTCACTTTTGAAAACTATTTTGAATTTTGAAATTTGACCTCCATGCATCAACTAGATTCAATTTCCCATCGAACAAGATAGGTACTGTTGAAGAAAATCGAAGCAGTTTTACTGTCCTAAACCGTGATGACAGACACTAAAACAAAAAAATAACACACGTCATTGTAAAATCAATACATTCATCGTTCCACTCAGAATCTAAAATAACTTTTATTTTATTTTCGGGTTATTTTATAACTTAGGAGCGAATAACCGTAAAATGAGATTTTACATTGGGTATCTATACGCCGAAAATCTGCTGATGGGTATAAGTGGTATACCCGCGTATCCGTACCAATATACCCCTGCATGATAGGCCACATCGTGTACAGTGGAACAACTTACATTTTCAAGCTGTAGAATCAAATTGGTATTTGTGAATTAACAATCTAGCTATTAGCCAGAGCCTGCCGTATGGCTGGGTTACGTTGGTTACCACGAGCGCTTCACTGCGAAACAGACAACGATTTGGTTTTATAATTATATACATAGCACATCGGCCCTAGTAATAACTAATAACCACAGATATAGATAATTTATATCTATATCTGTGGACTGTGCTAATAACTAGTTTTAGCTATCTGGCGGTGACGTGCGGTTGCCACTGACCTTCTCGCCACCGATAAGTAGAAAACAATGCTCTTACCGTGGTTGGGCATACCTATGATAATAGTTAAGGCTGTTGAAAGCGAAGCATTTTTATGGGGCTCGCTCCTGTGTCTTTAATAATGGGCAATATTTAGGCAATATGCAATTTCGTTGCCACCAGCCGTGGCATTTGTGTTAGTCGTAAATGATGATTGGCGTGAGAGAGATAATTCAATTTATATAAGTGAGTTATGAGCATTTTTAATTTACATTTATTATAAACCCATAATTCACTTAAAAACTGATTTATCGTAAAACAACTTCCAGCTGATGATGTGCGTGTGTAGACTCCGGGGATCAAGTTTGGATAAGTTGCTGATGGTGGAATAAAGTATTTTCACATAAGTAAAATGGATTATCAAAGTGATCTCCAAAAAAATAATATTTCAATATTTGTATTATTTTTTAACTTTGTCATTTTCTCTGTAATATAGTACCCACCAGCTATTAGTTATTCGGTAAACTGACATATTTCATTAAAATACTATTTATTAAATAAAATGTATTCAATTAACAACCATTAATAAAGCACTACACTGCTACATAATCCTTCTATCCAGGTGATCACATCAAAAAACTATTGCAATAAAGTTACAAAAATATAAAAAAAATGTGGAATAGTCTGGAATAGTAACAACACCACACACTATGCAAAAAGTTTATTGAACTATTAATTAAACCTCTTTATCTCTATAATTATAAGATAAATTATGTTTATATGCCTAGTCATTATGGTAATTTTTAAATTCCCTTTATTTTAAATGATGATTAATAATGACAATAATCAAATGACTAGGATTTTACTTTATGAATTAAAATGTATAATATAAAAGAATATTTGATAATTTTAAATTTTAATAGGTAAAACTAAATAAATTACCAACAAAACAGTTTGTCACCGTAATAAATATGAATATATTAATAAAATATACAAATTAGTAACAATAACAATAACGTTTGATTTTGTCTAAAATTACTAAACTAATGTAAATAATATAATTAAAGTCTTAGCACAGATTATATATATTTATTTTGTGATGGTGTTTGTGACTAGATAAAAAAAACATGTTATTTATAAGATAATACTTTCAAAAATAAATATAATTCTTACAAAATTTAAATGTATTCTTAAACAATAGTTTTAAAAATTTCAAAATAATACTTAGTATAAAGGAGATTCCAAATAATACTTGATGGAAAGACAATTTAATTAGTTATATATTTTTAAATATTTATAAATGAGATGAAATTACCTACTAAAATAAAGATTATTTCTAAACATAAATTAACTTATAAGTAGCACCGTTATATAAGGAAACAACTGTAGTATGAGCAACATAATATTATGATTATTGATTATATACCCTTTATTTGTTAGTCTTTTAAATATTTTGTCTTTCTATTATTAATTATTTATGTCAAAGATTATATCTTATAACTAAATTAGTAAATTTATAATAAGAATATAATAAATTACAAAATAATAGGTTTCTACAGTATTAAAACATTATTTTGTTCAACATCAAAAATGTAACTATGTTAAACTAAACTAATAATAAAGAAAAAAAAAATAGAAAACTTTAGTGGTTTACAAAATTACAACTTGTGGAAGTGGAAATTAAAAAAAATTGTGCAATATTGTCTTGGGCTGTGATATATTTTTGGAGGATGATTAAGATTTATTGTTATGACAAGATATTTTTTTAATGGAACATGGTAATCATAAATTACTGTCTCTTATTTATAATGTTACTAGCTTTTTGTTGATATTGCACTTTACTACGTTTAGGTCTCTGAATGGGCACATCTTCAACTACAATAGTAGATTCTATTGGCGATGAGTCAGTAGAAGAATCGGACACAGTATCTTCCATTAAAATCGTTGCGGGTTTCTTTTTTTTCACTTTTCTTATGACAGCTGCTGGATTTTGTGGTAAATACTCATTGTCCAATGTAACCATTTGTTGAAGAACCATTGGCATACGCCCAACCTATTGAATAAAAAGTAAATATAACTAGTGCCATTGATTATAAATAATAGTATTTATAATTTATGCTAGATGGTTTGTTTATATTTTAATATAACCATTGAATATATTTTTGTATAAAATCACAATTAATTCAAATAATAAAAAAATAACATTATAAAAGCTAAAAATAAGTTTCAAATAACATTAAAAATTGGAAAATATGCAAAATAAAATTGTTAAAAAAGAAACATGTCTTTAAAATCAAATTGTACATTAGGTCGTTAGTAAATTGCCTGTTTGACGATACCTATTTAGCTATTCATTGATAAAATAAAATTTGATTCAATATAATATGATAGCTGTAGATGTTTACTCTATAGACATCCAATAATTCTAAATACAATTTTAGACATTCCCGTTGAAAAAGTGTCAATCTTATGTGTTAATTTCCATAAATAAATTATATGAGAACACATCTAAAAATATCATTACAATTTTTAATTAGTTTAATAGCTCTACACTTTAAACATAGAAAAATTAAAAATGTTCTTCTTGACATCAGAAAAGTGTGAAACAAATTTGTATCTTTCTTGAAATGTTCTAAGAATAAACAAAAAGTATGCAACTTACATGACTTCTACTAATGAGCAAGAAATAACCTGAATGAATTTTGTGTAATAAAGAGTCTACTTTCTAATTAAATTGAATAAGTAGGTATGCTAAATCATAATTTATTAGATAATATGACTAGTACAATAAGAATAATAAGTTTTTCGCAAAATAATATTTTTGACTATTGAGTTAACTTAAGAGAAATTAAATAAATTTGACTTCAATTTTGTTTATCTAAGCCAGAGTGGTCCAACCTTTTGTAGTTGGAGGGCCAGTTTATAAAAACACAAAAGAAAAAACCACTAGAGTTCAGATGCTCATAATGATATAAAAATAAAAGTTATTTTGCAATTTAAAGTCTACTATAATGTTACATAATAATATTAAGTTGATCTGATTTTTTTGGTCATATATTTCCTATTTTTTATAATGTATATTGAATTTTTACTAATGTGTGCTGGGCAACAATTGCAGCTGTCATTTGAAATGTTTGTTTGGCGGTTGACGCTAAAGCATTGTAGGTACGTGATTTAACATTGACCAAAAATTCATCAATATCCTGTAAACAATAAATAACAATAATATATAATTGACAAATGGTTTTATATTTTTAAAATGTTAATCATTCTTGTTACCGTTTCTTTTTTTAACAAAGTTGGATGTACTAGTTGTTTGTATAGAATTGTTGAACCTTTTGTAAATGGACAAGAAATCCATAACAGCACGAGCAATTTAATATCATAATAAAATGGGAACCTTTAATCACATAAGGTAAACATTTTATTTTATTTTAATCCAACAATTTATAATGAAAATACATTACCAAAATTCAAGGAATATATCAGTTAAGCTTTCGATACAAATGAATGCTGCAAAAACTATCCAATACATCATCCACTTAACCTATAAACAAAAATATGTACTTTCATTATTTTAAACAATTTTAAAATAAAATACTACCATATAACCGGGATACTTGGGACATATTTAACTCTTAACTACACGCGCTGGTATACTTTGTACACCAATATTTTTGTTTATCTTGTTCTATTTTAGTTTTTATTTGTTTTCAGTTATTCTCCTAATCTAACCTTTTCTTATCTAATATGTAATAGTTATTAATCCAAATTTTTTTTATTAAATTTTTTTTATAATTAAATTTAAAACAATATTAAGTAGTGCTTTGTTCCTTTATTAGTAAATCAAGTCAAATATATATGCAATACAACATTGATTTCTGTGTAAAACAACTTGGTGTATAAAGTACACCGGGCGTGTAATTATTGAAAAAAAAATGGAGCGTGTAGCTAAGGGTTAAGAAACTTAGTATTGTATTGTCTGACAAATCATAATTATTTTGTAAAATTTTAATATTATAATTTGAGTATTTTGTAGCCTCGGTCTGAATTTAAATATAATAAAAACTGTAGTGTATGTAAGCTGATTTATTGAAGAATGTGATATCAGGATGTCGTGCTCAAATTAAGATGCATAATGTTGGTAAAAACATAGAAACTCAGTAACTTGTGATTATGAGGTATAATTATAGTGCGTTTAATTATAACTACAACTGCGCTTTGTGGCGGTTTTGTCTCAAAACAAGGTATTTTAAACTAAGATCGAAAAAAAAAGTGTAATATATTCAATATCAATTTTAAATTTGCAGCGCAACTTTACGCTTTAGTTTAAGAAACCCTAATGAAAAAACACCACGAGGCGCAGTTATAATGAAATGCACTATAGTAAACACAACTCACAAGTATATTACAAAAGCCATTTATTGGCAAAGCTGGGTGTGGTTAAGTAATTCTAAATATAAAATTAGACCACCCAAAACTCACACTGTACTTATTATAAAAACTTCTAATATATTCATATTCTATCATCAAATATATTAGCTAATAACCAAACCTTACATATACAGGGTAAATATAAGATTGCTTTATATTTCAAAAAGTAGTAGCTACCCCCTACCCCCATTACTTGTGCACATGCTTATAAAAATAAAGGGAGGTTATAGAGATTGAAAATATAGTCTTTATTCCATCAGTGTGTAGACATTTTATAAATCAGAATTTGAATAAAATAATTTATTAAAGGAAAAAATAGGGATCAGCAATGAGCATGCTTGGGTAATTACTCTGTAAATACCTACATAAAAATATATTTAAGAGGCAGTGATACACGCATGTGTTGTCTTTGTGTCGCCTGTGTTGTCTTACAAGTGTGTGACGTAGACAATTTTAAGCTCAGCAAATCATGTGTAGCTCCATTAATTTAAAAATTAGAGTGAATTGACCTCTTATAAATTCTAAAAGTAATACTATTATCAAAGCAACCTAATGAACTTTTTGTTAAATTTTAATTTTAAAGCAAGTTATGAGTAATTTAAGATGTATAAAAAATTTACAATTTTAAAATACTCAGAACTCACTTTAAAATTTAATATATAATAAATAGTCCACGAGGTTGCCGAAATAATAATCTTACCTTTAGATTTTATAAGAGATCAATTCAATCTAATTTTTAAACTAACGGAGCTACACGTGTTCTGATGAGCATACAATTTGCTATGTTACACACTTGAAAGACGGAGTCAACACATGCGGGTATCACGTCCTCTTAAGCCATCAGTAAATTATAGTTTTTTTTTAATAGATATAAGTTTTTTAAATTAATTTAATTAATAAAGATAACAAAATAAATAGACTCTCCAAATAAGTTAAGCCCTGCTCGTAAGTTAAGAGTATATTAAACATTGTCTTACATAATTTTTCACATTTTTGTTTTTCACCGTCTTGTATGATGCATATGCTGGATACATTACACCAAATAAAAGTCTATAAATAACAATCATATATTTACATAATATATATTATAAATACAAAAATAAAAATGGTATTAATAATAATTAATAACCAATTGTTTCAAAATTGACTTACGTTAATACTTTGCACACAGCTCCTGGAATCATATTGTACAAAACTGTATGAATAATTTAATAAAAACATGGATTAACTAACTGTTTGCCAAAATTTTTGTTGCTTGTTTCAGAAGATAACGTTGTTTATAAACTGTTTATTATGGATCTGCCTAACAACGAGTAGTTCAGATTCATTTTTAGGTACCTAGGTATACAATTAACTTATTATTATTTACTGTTAACGATGGAGAAATTAAATTGTTACATATTATGATTAATATGTACTATATACTACATAACAATTACTTCATTCTATACGTTTCTATTACTATATAAGGCAATGAATTTCAAAACATAATGATCGACGAGCAAACACAATCCACTCACGTAATAATTTGTGTCCGAGAAAAAAATATAATAATCCTATTGGCTACCTATCATTAACTATCACTGCTTTTGTTTTGGTCATGGACCTTTAAACTCGGAGTATGGTTTTTGGTGTTTTCTCGTATGATAGTAATTTTTTCTTATCGTAATCGTAATATCTTCATAATATCCACGACGGACCATAGATATTAAAGAATGGATGGGCCATAGCTATAATAACAATATAGAGGGAAGCATGCCGTAATGGGGAAGAGAGAAAGACTATTTTTATTATTGTCTCTCATTCTAGCAGAGGTCTTATCATAAATCATAATATATAAACATAATAATAATATTTATTCATCAATTGATTAGTGATAAGACCTCTATAACCACGGACTAAGGTATATCTTAGTCCGTGTCTATAACAATTGATTTGTGATAAGACCTCTATATTAGTCTATAATTTAATATTCGTTGCCGTAAATCGTAATGCCGTATAATAATCATAATTATCCATTCTATAATGTCCATTGAACATTTGAACTATATAATAAGAAGCAGAAAGTACAAAAAGCTGAAATTGACGGTCGTTTATGGAGTATTCTCTATCTCTTTCTAACAACTATTAAGTAACACACTTGTTCGGCTTTATTTACGTTAGTAATACTGTGAGCGTTTCAGTTATTTAACTAATAAATAGTTCAATGTCTATGCGACGGACAAGCAGCAGGCTGGTGTACACGTCCTTGGAGACGGACTAATAATAATATAATATTGTCTTGTCCGTGATAATATCATTAATCGTGATATGAATAATAATTAATACGTTTAATAGTAAAATAACTACTACTGACAACTGAGAATAATGAGAAATTGAGAAACACTCTTACTAAATTGTAAATTGACGTCAACACTTGACTCGGTCGACTCAACTTTGCAGTTTAGCTTAGGAAGTTAAAATTGTTTTCAAATTCAATTGTCGTCCACTTTTTTGGAAAGCACTGCTTACTGGTTAAACACTTTTGATATAAATTTTAAAGTTGTATTGTAATTTCTATTTTTTTAATAAAATAATAACAATTCGTAGGTAATAATATTATAACAAAAATAGCCAACGTATGTGTTACTTTCTACATTTTTTTAAGATTAGTGTATAGACGTATAATACATAAGACTGACTTAAGATCACTTAAGAGTTAAGATGCTTTACAAACTTTGACACTGCAAAAACTAACTGAATATAATTAATAAATTGTTTGGTATTTTCAAAAAAAAAATTCAAATAAGTAGGTATTAAGTATTTTATTTAACAAAATATTGTTTTTTTTATGATTGATAATTTAGCTGATCCCTAATCCATAAGTCCCAAATGTTTTAGTCCCAATTGCTCAGATAGTAGATGTACCTATACCATATTAGTATTTTATGACCTAATTGAGTTGTTAATATGAATGACTGGTTTAATACATTGTAAACTTAAATTGTATAATTTTATTTTATTTCCTGCCTAGTTCAGTGTATGTGTATATGTCAAAACTCAAAAGTCTGCAGTACCTACCTAATATATTATAATAGAGACATTTTATAGTTAACAAAGGATTATATCGCTTGGTGCTAAAGTAATTTTGCCCTCACAAATACAAAATGCAAATCTTGTCCTGTAGAATCAACCAAATTTGATTTTTTTTCAATAATAGAGGGTAATATTGTGCAGAATATAAACCACATAGTTCAATGTTTTTAAATATTTTTACCACAACCATTAAAAAAAAAAAAAAAGTCACTCTGTTGTACAGTATTTTACAAGGGGGTCACTGTAAAATGGATGGTATTAATTTTGAATTCAATGATATAATATGATTGTATAAGAAAAACGATTCTGAGCTGAGACGTATGTCAGTCTAGGTATAAGACATATTATATACTTATCTATGGTATTAAAAGAAAAATTGTACCTATAATAAATTCCAAATTAATCATATCACAGTAGCCATTAGGTACTTGTTATACAATATACACACGACTTAAGATAAACTATGCATCTAAAGTTTATCTTAAATCGTGGTTATACATCAACAGCAAACCGTGATACTATAATAATAGTCAGTGTTGTAAATTATTTGAGTAAAAGTATTCAAATACTTTTTATTTACTATTGATACTATTTTATTGAATACTTTTTTTAATTTTTTTTTCTTAATTTGTTTTTACTTATAATTATTCTTGTTAAATAAAAATACTATGCCATCGTGGTTTTGCTTAAATATTATAACAATATAATATTATATATTTATCATTTATGCCTTACAGACAAATTGGTATCAGTTTTTGCCGATTAAATGTTTTTTTCTCTAGGAGACAGTTTATTGTTGATGATGATCGAAAAGATACATCTATAGTCGGTATCAAGGTGGATTGATAAGGTGTAAACACTTGGCTTATTAGTTGATTGAAAATATTACTCCAGTTTAGCTCACCGCTAGATCGCGTTGCCTACCCGATAGAGGAGCAAAAATACACAGCTTCGTATGCAAGATTTAAAGAAAATTTAAGCAAAACACAATAAATTACCACTGTATTTGTTAAAATATGAATATATTATAATTTTTTAACCACAATAAAAAATGTCTATTATTTATGAACTATCCCTGGAGTCACAATTTGCTTTCTGATTGGTTTAATTGGTGGTAAAGAAAACAATATAGTAGGATCACAAATAAATACAAAATACAAGGAATTGGTGCTTGCATTGATTCTTTTGTATCAACATCAAAATTATTAATTAATGAAAAATCGTCACACTATACTAAATTTTCATTTAATTTTTATTTGTTTTGTTAATATAAATTTAGAACATTATAAAATGCCTAATTTATGTTTTGCTCCTGGGTGTAATACTGGTTTGCCTAATGACCGAAAGTGTTATGAAGGTAAAAAGTATCCATCCAGATTTCATCCACCTGAGGTACCTTTGTAGACAAATTGTAGTTTGAAATATTAAAATATTAACTATTGTATTATTGTTTCATATTTCCAAATACTAATCAGTTAAAAAAATATTATAAGTATAAAGTAATAACATATAGCATATTATACTGATGTCCAATTGTAATTTTTGCTAACCTAATTTAAAATAGAAATATACCTCATTATTAATTTTACCACATTATAATAGAAAAGTAGAAAAGTGAATCTAATCGGTAGTCGGTACATACATTGGACAAAATTACATATATTATTACTAGGGCTTGGATTTGCATTTCTTTTTTGGAATGTCTTACACTAGGCTTTCCAAGTTACAAATGTGTTTCAAATGTTCCATTTTTTCATACTTATAAATTATAATTCATAAACTTACCTACACAAGTTTAAATGTTAAATGCATTTTTTCTACATTTTTAGTGTATTTTAATCCGAGCGCTCAGTGGCGCAACCAGGGCGTTGCGTTAAGGGTTTGTACCCCGTCCCCCCCTGAAATTTTTTTCTAGTTGCGCCACTGCGAGTGCTTGATATTACCTATCATAATACAAATATCAAAATAAATTACTTTAATAGCAACATTTTCAATTCAAATTCAATTTTTTCAATTGGTTGTACAGATTATGAATATGAATTAACTAAATACATCGTAAAATTTTACCTAAATACAAGAATGATTTTTGCCTGCAAAAACATAACAAAGTGTCAGACCAAAAAAAAAAAAACGAAAAACGTTTGAAAAAAAATTCTAGATTAGTATAAACATGTATAAAATATATAATTTTCTAATTGTATAACTATATCCATAGTGTAATAACGAGTAGGTAGTTACTTCAAGCCACAACATTTGGACACATCTTAATTATATTATAAATTTATGAAT